CTCGCAATCCCTAAGGTTCTACAGGGCTGCTTTGAAGGCTTAAGGGATCTTTGGGGGTTCTATGGGGTTGTTTGAGAGCTCCTGTAATAAATGCTGATAGGCATTCGACTTCGATAGGTCTGGAGGCATTTGACTGCCTCAGGACATTGGGGGTTGTGTGTCCAGGGTTTAAGGTTTCGGGTTTAGGGTTATATAATATTATATATTTATATATATATATATATTTATTTATTTGTTTATTTATTTATTTATTTTTATTTATATCTATATCTATATCTATATCTATATTTTTATTTCTTTATTTATTATATATTGGCTGGGGCTTGCGATTTCCTGACGGCGCTTAGGGCTCTGGGGCTTCGGGTTCAAAAGGCTTTTGGCCGTGTCGCCGTGGGCGCTTTCTTTGCTTTTGCCTACTTCGCCTACGGGTGCGGCGCGGGTTTAGGGTTTAGGGTTTAGGGTTTAGGGGGCCCCTGAATGCAGTAGCAGCAGCAGGCCCGAGATGGGCCCTAAATCCCCAGGTACCTACTATATAGGGTACTAGAGCCCCTATAGACCACTATATAGTAGGTCCCTGGAGGGCTAGGGAGGGATAGGGGTTACCTGCGAGGTTCCGTAGTTTGCTCGTTTGTTGTTTCTTGGGTTGGGATCGTTCGGGCTCAGAGGGTGGTATGGGCATAGGTCCAATTTTGAGGGACGCGCAACCTCCCACCTGAGCAGAAGCAAAGGTCGTACATTCATCATGGCGAACACTGTAATGTTGAACCGGTTGTAGTCTAGACTGCACATTTGCAGGGAGTGTACGAGTCCAGCGATATGTCTCGGAGAACAGTTTCAAAGAGAAGGACCGACACATAGACCCCAAGCTTTAGGATCCTGCTTTAGGAGGAACCCTACCAAGAGTTCGTGATAAAAGCAAAAACAACCTGTAGACAAGTTCTAAAACCATCCACACTCCCAACTAAGGGACCCGGATATATGACACCCACGGTTTGATGCTTAGAAACTGAACAAGAAACTCTGCGACTGAAAGTCCTCGCGCACAACACTCTCTGTGCTCAGAGTGCGGTATGACACCCTTTGTACTCAGAGTGCGATTTTAAGGTCCAGGGTTTAGGGGCTTCGGCTTCAGAGCTGCTGGCTTACTACGGATAGTCTTGCATGTATAACGGTATGATATTTATCAGGGATGGTGTCCGTCCTTCCATCCATCAATCGATCCACGCAGACATACAAGGATAGATATGCATGCTTGGCATGTCCACATGGGCGGTATACGTACAGACATTATGTGCACTTCTATGCATGAAAAACTAAACCTGACTTGCAGTGTGCTGATTTCCACCATTGTTGGATGACATACGTTCTCTTGTACAATATACAGGGTGCCCATCTTAAGACATAAAGGTGTAAAGTGCTACTGTTTGAGGGTTTAGGTGCGCAATTCTTCAGTTGCATGGTTCGGCTGGTGATTGGGGTTGTGGTTTACCTATAGTCTCCATTGTAGTTCCTTTTTTTGGTATAGCCACTTTTATATTAAGGATCCTATAAGGCAACCCCAAAAGAGGAACTACAATGGAGACTCTAGGTAAGTTTTAAGACCGGCAGGTACACCGCTTTTTCACGGCAGGAGACGCAACGGGTCGAAGGCATGTGCGACCTAGCCAAGCAAAGCTGATGCCTTTGGCAAAACAGCAAAGTCCACCGGCTGGACAAGGAGACCCTGTAACGTGTGGAATGAAGTCGAGGACGCCACGTACGCGAAGACATCATGCGCAACAAAATCAAAAACGGTCGCCACTATGATGAACCCTAAACCCCCAGGTACCTACTATATAGGGTACTAGAGCCCCTAGCGCCCTATATTATATAGTAGGTACCTGGAGGGTCTAGGTCGGTGTCAAGCGATAATCTCTGAAAGCCTAGCGTCAACTTCAAGCTGCAACAACTGGCTTGGGGCTACTGGCCGCGGGGGGAAAGGTTTGGGCATGGGGCTGACATGTTGACCGCTGGCTGCAGAACTTGACCGGGGTTGTATAAGCCTTTTATAAGCCAGCAAGATATGAAGCTGTGCAACATGGTATAAACTCAACCCTAAACCCTCGTCCGCCCTAAACCGTATATAAACCCCATCATATGCAAACTAGTACTTCCTGCTTGCTGTGTGCTTGTGTGGAAGATCTCCGTCCAGGAAGTGATCAGCTGCCGTTCGGCAGAAATCTCACAAGCATTTAGGGCAAATTTAGGGTTTAGGGTTTAGGGGTTTAGGGTTCGGCAGAAGACACGGGCTGGCGACTGTAAGGCACTCACTCCCAAACCCTAAAGTCAACAGGTGTGGGTTTAGGGTTACCCTAAACTCTAAACTCCAAATTCTTATACAACCCCCAAATCCAAACCCTGAAGTGTGTCCACACACGCTCTCGAGTCCGACATCCAAATACTATACAGCCCGACAAAAGAAGCACCGAAATCTGAGATTGCACATGCTCATACCACCGATTACCAAATCAGTAACACCTAAACTGGACCTAGACCCGTACAGCAGTGCCAGAAGAGCGCTGAACGCTTCGAAACTTGAGGTCCGAAACACTCATCCCTAACAGCTTTGAGCCCTAAGGCCAAACACCCGAAACTCTGGACCACCATATGGTATAAAGCTAGGCCTAGACCTCACAGGCGTTCCTATATAGACACTTTAATGAACTTTAAAGCTTAAGTATATACTGTAGGTACACGGAGCCTTAGGCGAGCCACAAAGTCTAAATATGTAGACCTTCGAAGACCTCGCCTAGAGACTCAGCACCCTTCACAAGTCGTGAAGGTGTGATAAGCAAGAACACAGCAAGGCATCACGTTTTGGGTTGCGCTACCTCTGAAACTTCCAAAAAAGTTTAGGGTTTAGGGTTTGGGGTGGGGTTGAGGGTGGGGTTGAGGGTTACCATACGCTTACACCCCATAGCCCAAACCATAGACTTGAACAGCCAGAAGATACCCAAATCCCTCATTTCTATATCAAAGCTCCGAAGCCTTGAACCTCCGCGTGCCAGCCCTGTCTCTCGGCAATAAGAGCAAAAGTGGGAGACAGCCAACTCTTTCAGATGTTCACAGGGATGGGGTCCAGGGTGAGTAGGGCTTTTGTGGCTTCGGGATCTTCTTACTTCCCCAAAAAGCCAGGAAAATAAAAGGTTAGACTTGCAGGTTACTACTAAGTTATAAGAACCCCAAAAGTTTAAAGGTTGGGTATTGGAGAGCTAAGTCTTGGGTTTGGGGCTGAAGCTTCTTGGTTCTAGACTACTTACTACCCCAATAAGCCAGGGAAGTAAAAGGTTAAACTTTCAGATGACTACTAGATTTTGAGAACCCAAAAAGTTTAAAGGTTGGGTATTGGGGAACTCAGACTAACCGTTCCCAAAACCGTTAGAAAACGTCGGCGTGCCAGGGCTCGAAGAGGGGTGGAGTGCGAGAAGGACCACTGTAAACCGGTCCCCTACACCTTATGCCTTATGCAACAGAGCATGAAGAAACAAGCAGAGTGCCAGAAACGCAGGGGGCGTACATAAGCAACAAGAGACTACTCCTGGTTTCAGCGGTTATGCTCCTTACACATGGTATGGAAAATCCGAAGAAGCTCGGCGAGGTCTCCTACTGCCCAGGGGACAGCGAATCGGCATATCCCCATCATCCCATACGGAGCAACGAACTTTCGCAATGCTGGCATCGCATCCGAGAGGAGTACGGGTGCGCACCCCATAAAGCTTACGCTGACCTGCTGGAACCCACGCTCTCTCCAAGTCGCATGTTATGAACTAGGTTTCTGCTATGACTCGTGACCATACAAAGCGCAGGTTCTGGAGGGACAACGTAAGTCATAAGCCAGCAATCCCAAACCCAGACCCTCTCTACCAATAAATATTTAGACCAGAATGGCTACGTCCGGTGATTCTGACCGTGCCTGGTTCCTCTATCCTAAATCTGAAGTCCTAGTGAATCCTAAATTCTAGATCTTGGCAAATCCTAAGCCCTGGTTCCTAAATCCTAAATAGCTCTTTAAGTTCTAAATAATCCAAGTTCCCAAGTCCTAAATCCCAGCTCCTAACTCATAGCTCCCAAATCCTGAATCCTAGTTCCTCGACCCTGCATCCGAATTGGGCTCTAACCCTAAACCCCAAGCCCTAAACCCCGAGCCAGAAACCCTAAACCCAAACCCCTAAAACTTACTAAACCCTAAACCCTAAACCCTGAACCCAAACCCATAAACCCTAAATCCCAAACCCTAAACCCTAAACCTTAGCAGACCAGGTCAGGACCCATAGAGCCTCTGAACGCTGGGAGCTTCTGGGCTATGGCACTCTCCCCCCTGAAACCTGAAAGCCTAAAAGCCTGAAACCCGAGGTTTAGGGTTTAGGGTTTAGGGTTTAGGCCTAAACCCTAAAAGCCTAATCCCTAAACCCTAAAAGCCTAATCCCTAAACCCTGAAAGCCTAAACCCTAAACCCTATAGCCCGAACCCTAAACCTTCTTGGGAGCCCGGGAGACTCTACGAATTCCTTGTAGCCTTTGGGAGCTTCGGAAGCGGATTGGGAACCTCTTGGAGCTTAGGGTTTAGGGGTGCAGGGGTTTAGGGTTTAGGGGTTTAGGGGATTAGGGTTGAGGGGTTTAGGGTATAGGGTTTAAGGCTTTTCGGCTGGGCACACATAAGGGCTTCTGGGAAGGTGGGTAAGACTAAACAGAACACATTGATGCCGGCTCTAGCCAATTGGAAACCCTTTCAACCCTTATACCCTGCATCCCCTGAACCCACAACCCTAACTAAACCCCTAAACCAACCTTGACCCTAAACCCCTAAACCCCCTAAACCCAATAA